AGAGAGAGAGAGAGAGAGAGAGAGAGAGAGAGAGAGAGAGAGAGAGAGAGAGAGAGAGAGCAGAGGAAGGGGGAGAGAAAGAGAAAAGACGAAGGAACAGAGAGAGCGAAAAAGAGAGGGAGAAAGAGATAGGTGCTCCCAGATAGAGAGAGGAGAGACGTCGAGCATCATCGTGAAAACGGCTAGCGCTGTCGCTACCGGCGTAACTTGAGAGCCTCGCGAACCCCGCGCGACCATATATGTCCGCCTGTCGCTCTCTCTCTCGCTCGCACCGGCCGTCGCGGCGTCGCGGCGTCTCTCTCGCGCCACCATGTGCGAAATCCTTTATCTGCAACACGGGTAGCTCACGCGGCTCATCGATACCGGCGCGTATACATCGATACTATCGATGCGCAATCCCGATTTCTCATTTGTTCCGGATTTGAAAATCAATTTCCGACAGGCGCCGAGTCATCTTAGGTATTTGTCAGATAGTGATGGCTTGTTGTTCAGTTATTTTGTCAACCGCATCGTCAGCGCGAAAGGATGTGAGAAGAACAGCTGGACACGTCACTTAAATGTATCAGGGACAGATCTTGCGCATTCTTCTCTGTAAATTTTGTTACTCGATTTTTCCCGCGCGATAGACTTTTACTTCAATCGACGTCGATGTGCACGATATTGGATAGCGTGTATCGACGCGCGAATTGATATCTGATATCCAGGCCGCTGCTTAAAGTATCGGCGGGAGAATGGGAGTCCTAAATTTGCGCCGTGTAATATATTCCACCGGCTGCTTTTTGAATTACAGAACGACGTTGGTTCTCCTTCCAAGCTACTGATATTTTTTTATAGCGTGCGCTCGTGGCCCGCACAAGATCTGTTATGTCGTCGTCGTGGAGCCACGAATGCAAATTGTAAATGTCTAATTTTAGGTGAACGTACTTTTCAACACGACAATCAACTTTGTAGTGATAACAAGCCGTGAACTTTTGATTTGGAAATTTTTTGATTACGCGAAATTACAAACTTTCAGGCATATATATGCGTTTGATAATTATTACAATGTTTTTTTACCATAAAGTTATAGTAATAGATATATATTAAATTTATTCTTTTAAACAAATGAAATGATATTTATCTCTTACCTGTTGAATTATTTTGCAGAAAATTGTTTTGTTTCGAAAAAATTAACATTTGTTAATATATTTAGGCAATTAGAAGAAATAATATATGAAGTGACATATTCCTAAAAATTTTTACCAATTTTGCCAAAATTCTATACTAATTTTATGAACAAATAATTAATTTTATGCGGTGATCGATGATGATAGCATATGATAAATATGATCAGTTAGATCGCTTGGTAAAACAGAGCAAATGATCTTGAATGTGGCGCCACTTATCGGACACGTACCGTCCACGTGTGATCTGACACTGATAAGGAAATATCTTAAATTTTCATGTATAAAATATTTTGGAAAATTTCACATTCTAAATGTTTCGATATTCGAAAAAATGTTTTCAGTAATTTCTTTTTTTCATTATTATAAATAATTACGAAAAAAATAACGTATTGATATCAAGTAAATTTGAAAACATGAAACAATTTTATAAAATTTTAAATTCTCCGAGATAAAGGAACAATCAAGGATATGAATAAATCAACAGCGTAAGTCAAATTTACGTCATTGTATTATAAAATTCAATTTTCAGGTTGCTCAACATCTGAACTTGTCTGAATACCACGAATTAATGTGAATAACATTTTCTCTCGGCCTGTCCTCTTCCAAATAATTTGTAGGGTAAGCTAAACTCGTGTTTCTCAATCTTGTGCAAAGTCACTCACGCTGTTGTAGCATTCAGCTCCTCAATTATTCTTATAAACCGCTGACAATTTCAGAAAACTAAGGACGGAAGACTGGGATATGTTTCCAAGGGTAATAAGACACACACATACACTCGAGCACACTTCTTTTTACACATGTACGTGAATACGTGTAATTTCATGAGTAATAACACATAGCTAAATCTTACCGTCAAACGTAATGCTTAAAGTTACGCTTACATAATAATGTTGGACGTGTGCGAAGATCGTAACATGTGTACTTGGCTCTTATTTAAGTTGTGCGTATGTATACGTGCGCGTGGTTATATACATTCCAAGAGCTCGGTGCAACGATTAGGTCGGCAAGGAATCCTGCCCAACCTGCGATCTCGATTGGGATCGCCGAGGAAAAATCACGTCGGATAACACCTCCGAGTTTCGTCGGTCGTCCGGTGACAAGTGTTATCGTCGCTTGTACGCGCTAGATAATCAATACGGATAAGATAAGGCGCTTGATGCGAAAAGAATAAAGTCAGCAACTGCACGAATGTTGCATGTATATTCATCTGGAATACTGATCATGTACTAGAATTAAGAATATTCACGCGAAGGTGCACATGAGGGTACGATATGATCCTATCGTCTTCCTTCTTTCAGGAAATACCGCAAAAATTCAAAGAATCATATTCTCTGTACTGAAAGCAATTGTGTACGTCAAATGAGTGTTCCAATACGTAGCATCTAATTACCCTATCTCTAAACATCAACAAATTAACCGATCATAGAGACTTTATAAAAGAAAAAGAAAACATAACATATATAAATAAATTTACTTTCGACGATTAAAACTACCCCGCTGTGTATCGGAACAACGTCTTCGCGAGATTTTTCCTTGTTGCGAGAGACGCGTTCGCGTTTCGTTAATTATAATTAACGATATATCCCACTACAACGGAAGGTTCGTTTGCACCGATGATTATCGTAAGGCATTCCCCTCTTTCTCTCCCTCCCTCTTCCCTGCCATCTGATCGTTGCACCCACTCCGATGCACGAAAGTCTAATATTTACAGAAGCCGGTACATAACTATTAGAGCTCTTCAAGGTCCTACGACAAAAACAAGAACATTAAGGGAGAAAAAAGGCTCGTCGTGAACAGACGAGTAGCGCGGCGGACGATTATCGCGATTATTCGAAACCCAGGCCTTTGTAAATGCTGCGCGCTAACGACTATCCGCCTTTTCGCCGATCTTCATCACGCGACCCGTTCATTCCGCGAGCGCGGCGCAATTCCAGTCTGAGAAATCTCGCCAAAAGCGACACGCTATTATCTCATCGCGCCGTGATTTTCAATTCGCCGTCGGGTCGTTGTTCCGACTCAAATAGCACAGATCTCCGTATAACACCCTAAAGACGTTCTTTATTTACTTATTTACGGAACAAAACGTCCCCTTCTAAAAACAAAAAAAGACACAAATTGTCAGAAAGAAAGAAAACAGCAAAACAATTTACTTATTAATGAGAAACGTTTCCGGGACATTCCCTGGAGATCTTGTGCTGTCTGGGGAGTAGCTTCTTCCCCAAGATCTCTCCTGGATCTGGTCTGTCTCTATCTCGTTCTCCTTGAGTTTTTACACTTCAGTTTCCTCAAAACCGGAGCCACGCATCGCTCGTGAAACCGCTCGTACCGCGTTATCGACGTCCCCGTTATCGCGTCACCGCTACGCGATTTTTTCAGTGCGTGCAAGTGCCGGAGAGAGATATCGTTACAATAATAAAACGGCGGTCCCTCATTCGGGCCATATAAATCCTTTCACCGCTCGCACATTCGCACTACGTCGTGACGTCGTCTGAGAGACATTAGACCGCTTTCCTCTCCAAGCCTGTCCGCCTATAACGACAGCGGGCTGACTAACGTGCACCGAAGCATCTCGGTGTGTCGAGTGCTCGCGCCACGGGAGATTGATTGTCGAAAACTAACGGCGAATTGATTGTACCAGGTGCCGCGTTCCTTCAACACAGCCCGCCGCCGTTCCGTTGCCGCCCAACGGCTCCTTAATCTTAATTAGAACGACGTGCGCGCAGCACGTCGAGAGGAGAATCATTCTTTTACGATTAATTGTGGTTACTGACTATTTTTTCGTTACTTTCAGAGAGAAAGACATGGCGATGGCGACTGTATGGGTGACAACCGTACGAGTTTTGTCGCGTGGAATTAGTTTCAGTTCAACCTGCTTCCTGAAGAAGTGAACTGGAATGTTTACGAAAAACTTCGGGGCCAAGTACAAAGGAGACGCGGTCCAAACATACCAAGTATTGGACAACATCACGAAAGTGCTAAAATATCAAATGTAGAAATGTAAAATTAAAATGTATAGCTTAATTAACTGTGTACATTACAATTTCTATGTACACAGTCGCCATCACCGTGTTTTTCTCGGAGTGTAAGCGAAAAATCACATGAAACACGTCGGTGTCTGTCTCGACTGCTGCCGGTAATACAGTGATCTTCGTATCCGTTATGCACTTCGCAGGCGACAAAATTGAATTGTCATCTCGCGATTTTCTCGATGCAATTTCTCTGATGAGCAAGACTATTTTTTTTCATTTTGTTCGTTCCGTCAAATTCTTACATTGTTTTTGATTTCTCCAGTTCGAAGTGATTTTTGATAATTGCTCTTGCCTATTTTGAGTCACTCGGCTATCGCGACATTGTTCCTCTGTCTCTTTCGTTTTGTTTGTCTAATTACATGTTGTGCATATAATCGCAACAATCCTTCGCGACAATTCGTCGCTCACTCTGCGACGTCATCGTCATTATTAGTGCTATCAATTTCGACTACTCGAGTACGTCTTTCGAGTTTTTTTTTCGGGTACTCGTATCTTTCGGGTATATTAGCTCGAATATATTAGAGGACCTCACGCCTACTCGGATCGCGAGAAGATAACTTCACTTTGCGTCCGTACATCTTCTGCATAACTTGTAACTCGCGGCTGAAGTTAATTTAACAAACACATAAAATAATTTGACATTTTCAGATTATCTCAACAATAACAAATAATAAATGCATTGCATACAAGGAGAGAATTTTGTAGTTAAAAATTACCGTAAAATTTTGTAGCCAAGGAATTGATCGATATTCCACAGTAATTCACAATTCCTTTATTTCACATGCGCTACTTAAGTATATTTTGTAAGAAACTCGCGATCACATTTAGATGGAACAGAAAATCATGAGAACGTCCAATAACATCGAAATGATGAGAAAATTATCGAATCATAAGCAAGAAGTGATTTATTATTTTCTCGTAATTTTCACGTTATTGTGATTTTTTGTTCTATCTATACATAGAAAAATATATATGAAAACTGAAATGTGCTATTGAAACACCATGTTTCCAGCAAAATTCACTGTGTTCCTTAGGAAGACGGATCTTAATGACAGTCTATTCCTATATATATAAGCTAGGAACATGCTAAAATTAAGGAGAATAAATATAAAAAAAAAAGAACTACAATCTCTCCGTGTACGCGTAACTTATTTACTATCTGGTTGGCCAGGTAACAATCGCGAATGTGGGTGCCTCGGTGAAGTCCCAGGTATATAGATATAACAGAGTTATATTGACGCAGCGCTAAACATTATCAGCTCGCGAATGATCAGCCCGGCGGAGAGAGGTGTATCGCGCAAAACGCGGCATTTTCGTCCTTTGGCCGAGGCCGCCGGCGATAGTAAGTCCGCGCGATCGCTGCCTCTCGTGATACTTTCACTTCGAATCGGCCCGCGGAGTGACATAACGGTGTACGCGTACAAAATGTAATTAGCACACAATATCGCGAGCACGCGCACGCACGGCGTATACGGGGCTCTCGACGCCGATGGTCGCTCTTGCGCTCGCTGTTTTCGTGACAAATTGCAACGACCGGTCTCCGGTTCTCCATTCGTTCCAAGAGAAGGCGGCCCCGGCACGAGGGGAGCTCTCGTGACCGCGTAACGGTGACACAAAGGCAAATTGCCGCTGCGACGAGGGACATTGTGTCCGCTTGAGTGATGCGCGACATTGACGATGTTGTAAACGCAGTCGAACTTGGTAACGCCACTTAAATTCTAAGTGCCGATTAACGCGTTCACACGTAGCTGATCGGCGGCGAATCGCGGATGACCAATCGGCCTGGACGCGATAAATATTTCCAGGTATTCCGTTAACTTCATCCTTCCTCCTTTACGGTAGAGGAGGGCCGTAAATCGACGTGTCGTAACACAACTTGATACGCGAGAACTATGAATCAACGTCTCGCAAACGAGGCGACGTCTCGGCGCGACGGCGGATGAGATCTTAATGACACTTTTCTCAGGAACTCGCAGTCGATCCTCCTTCACGAAACTCGGACCTCTTGGTCTTCATTCGCCAATAACGAGATACCCGTCTAACGCCAGCGTTATCTAAGAGAGGGGGAACATTTCTCTATCGCCAGCTTAGATACGTACGACGAGCATGCTTCGTTTCATTGCATATGATAAACATGTAAAAGTGTGATTACAGGAGAATAATTATGAACAAGCGAACACATTCTAAGAAAGAGGAATTCTAAGAAAGAAGAATCAAGATCCTTCGTTTTTCTACTGACAAAACGTCTTCTCATAGATCATTCTGGAATGCCAAGAGCTACGAGAAAGTTTATCGCGGCAGTATAAAAAGAGCAATCTCCCGAATAGCATGTAACAATGTTCCTTCTCTCCTCGATAAAACTGCGAGTTACACGGAGTATCGCCATATATCGCTAGAGTTAATCCGACAGATAACGAAGCTTCGCTTCACTCGCTCGCTCGCTGGAATACGCATTTATGGAAAAAGATGCAATGTCTCGGGAAAACGCGACGTCTGCGTTCGCCTCGGGGCGAACAGGTAAACTCATAACGACCACGACAACGGGCGATAATTGAAGGTTGCGCAACGGCGTCGTCGTAATATTTAGCAACGAGTCGTTGTATACCTAACTTTTCCGCGACTCTCGGCGACACACCGAGCAGGCGAAGGTGGAATCTTGAAAGGCGGCTTCTCTCTCTCTCTCTCTCTCTTTCTCTCTCTCCCTCCGTCTTGTCATTGTAGACGCGACATTCTTGTCGATTACGCAACGGCCGTGTTCGGCCGGTTATCGAACGCGGCGCAACGCGAGTTATAAATTTCAGCCGAGTATATACCTGCTTATACCGTATCCGCTTATCGTGGCTCTGATAATATTCGTTAGTCGGTCGTGGAAGCCGCTATTTAATTAATTTCGTTCCGTTCGGCGCAGAGCCGCTTTGCGCACGTTGAGCAACACATTCGAGGATGTCCACCTCTATTACTTATAGATTACTTGTTCCGATAGAACTTTGAACGTCGCGTGATATCGAAAATACGATCTCATGAATGTTTCTTATAGTGTGTCGCTCTGAAGTCAGTTCTTCCAACGCTGTTGGAGAATTAAGATTACGCTCGCGTCGCGTTTTCAATTGTCGACTCGCATCGGCGTTAATTGCTGATCTCTTTCTCTCTCTCTCTCTCTCTCTCTTTCTCTCGATTCTGCTGTCGCGTCTTTACCGTGATTTTCTCTCGCGCCGCGTCGCGTTACGTACGATGAATGAGGAATGCATCAAACATATAAAAGTAATTTTACAGAAGGACGTTAGCGCGCGTTTTCCCACGAGGTGCGCCGCAATCAACGACCGTGGCAGTTGTTAACCGGATGCTACAATAAAAAGAAATGCGGAGACGAGGAGTGATACGAGGAGCAGAGAGACGCGAGAAAATCGCGTGTCTGGAAGAGCAGCTGACTGAACGTTTTTTTTTCTCTCTTTCCAGAAATTGGTCTTTGACTCTCCTTTCTCACCTTGCCGAAGGTCGCGTTTTTATTTTTTAATTCTTAGAATGTGCACAATCGGTCGTTATCGAAATGCAATTTCGAAAGAAAACCTCTCAGAGTTCTCCACAAGGTGGTAAAGTAAAAATGCATCGGTGAGAAATGCATCCCTGTCGTGTATATGTATATTAAAGATTGCATCGACAAATGATGCAATACGAGTAAAACAATTTGAAATGGAAATCTCCTCTAAAGTAAGTGGACAATAATGAGCGATAATGACAATTGTTAAGAGTTTCGCAATTTGGTTAATGACTCACTAACATAAGACTAACATAACATATTTGCCAACTGTTCGAAGGCTCTTATCAACAAATGAGCGACTGAGAACCGAGTTATCTCTTCTATTGTTGCGTCAAAAATTTTACTTGAAACGAGAATCGTTGTTCGATCAATTGAAACATTGAAAACACGATTAAGCTCGAGAAATGTGCGAAAAATTTCTCAATTCGATCAATTAACTCGTGCACCGATGCCTCCCAGTGCCTCACATTGAACTGTCTCAATATAATTTAGAATGCATTTAGAAATAAAATAGTTCAACTTCCTGTTGATTATCAGTTGTATTCTTCGTGATTTATTTAAATTAAATTACTCATTTCTTGTATAGTTACAATCTATGGCTTTACACTTGACAGTATTTTGTAAAAATATTGCACCAAAGAAATGCCTTTCTCATGAATAGAAATATATGATGATGAACAATTTTGGTATCTTAATCGTCACAACTGTTTATTTCAATTGAAGCTTGGACGAATCATTGTGCGGCGTAAAACTACCTCGATCGTTGTGAAAAATTGTGAACTTTCTTCCGTACCTATAATCTTAGTGCTGCAATTGTTCAAGCAATAATATCGAACAACGAGTTGCGGATTGTCGCAGGCTGTCGAGATTGTCGAGATCTCAGATTCTGACTTTTGCCTCGATTTTGCCGCGCGCAAAGGCAGAAACGCGTTCCGAATTCGATAATAGAGAGACCGACAGACTTCGCTCGACGGCACTGTACTTTCTCCCACATCGACGCCGCTCGTCCTTGGACCGCGCAGCTCTGACTTCTTAGGACCGTTGCAGCACGCACGAGGAACGTCCGTCCTTGCGAGTCCTTAAGGCGCGAGCAGCGCCGTGCTACGGGCTCGCCGAATGCAGTCGAAATTGACGCGGCGTTTCGCAACGGCGGCGCACGAGCCACGCGAATATTTTTTACGCTTCGCGCGAATTATACGCGTGGAGACCTCGCGCGTTAAATTCCCCCCGCGTGTCGGCATCAAAACCGCGCTAATCCCATTACAGAGACTGGTCCAAAAGCAGAACTCGACCGAAATCGCAGCGAATTAATTGACTGTTTAGTATTCGCACGCGAATCGAAGTCAGAAATTTTTGGACCGTGTAAAAAAACTTGTCTTAAATACTTTAGTCCGGAAAGTTTTCGATTCAAGGAGGAGCGTTACTTCTTAGCATTCGTTAAGATTCCGTATAAAGATACTTTTTCACGCGTGTTTTTCGATTTATACAAACGACGACGACCGAATTATTAGACTAACTGCAATCATACTTTTGGTTGAAGGCAATAAAATTCGAACGTCGAGGTGAATTTTCAATTGGTCGAGTAATCCCGCGAGGGATTTGTCCGGACTGTTTTTTCTGCTTTTTTTTTCTAAGTCGCGGCTAAGAATTTGTAATGTCTCTCGCGCCGATGAAAAATCCGTGCGAACGACGTAACACTCGGGGACGATTACTACATCAGACAACGCGGCGATAAATTCTCGCCGGAGAAAGTCGTGGGAAGAAACGGCAAACGGATCTCCCGAATTTAACGGACGATGCTTAGAGGCTCAGTTGTGACGGCACTATAGGCAATCAAGTCGAAAGATTGAGATTTAATGACTCACTAACCACATGTATATGTGTGTATGTGTGTGTGTGTGTGTGTATGTGTATGTAGTGCGCATGGAAAGTGTCCTAATTATTTACAGCAGGAAGAACATTTGAAAACTAAAACTAAAAACTAAATTATTGCGCCGGGAGAAAGTGTTAGATACCTTTGAGCCACTGCGTAACAACAGTTATAGTATTACGAAAACAATGTGATTCGTGATAAAACCGAGGAACGCGCAATTCTTGAAAGAAGAAGAAGGAAGAAAAATATCCCCTTCGTTACAGCTCCTGCCTGTGTCAAATGTTGACTTAAACCGGTGACTCGAAATCCGCCGTGACTTCCGGCGCGGATGGGATCGAAATTGCACGGCACGGGAGATCCGTGCAAACGGTGAAGCCGGACAGGTAACAAGCGTTTAGTGAGCGTCCACACAAACGACATCATCTCTGCTTTTTCCCTCGACCTCCTAATGGTCTCTAAGTTTCAAGTCTAATCCGCAGGCTCCTCTATTGCTGCATATCAATGTATGAGCGATACTCACATCGATCACGATGACGTGCATCGTGATGCGGCAGCTGCACGACGGTGTGTTTATGTATGTGTATAGTGCGTACAATGGACGAATTTGATCGGTTCATCGGTGCGTTGCATTACGCGAGGAAGGTGCGATCGTCGTTGCGTTCGATTACGATGGCGACGACGACGCAACGGCAAGGAGGATGACGAGGAAGGAAGGAGTGAAGAGGATCGTTCGAGGTTGCTGACGGACAGACAGGCAGACAGACAGATAGATAGACGCTCGTGACGGGGACGTTGGGCTGTCTACAGTTTCTGTACGATGTCGAATTTGTCCTTGAAGCCGATCGATTCCTTCTTCGGGTCGTACTTCTTGCGCGCCGCCAGCTGGGCCCTGAGCTCCTTCGCGCTCATCTTCAGGTTCAGACCCTGCCGGGGCTCGCTGTTCGCGCCGCCCACACTGCCATTACCCGTACCGTGCACGTGGCTCACGTCGTTGTTCCTCACACTGTTGCCGTTCTCTCGCATGCTGGTCTCGTTGTTATCGCCGTTGCTGTTGCTGCTCGTCATCGCCGTTGTCGTCGTCGTCGTCGTCTGCGCCGCGGTGGTGCTGTCGCTGTGCGCCGAGTCGTTGGAGCCGATAGACTTCTGTGTGCTCTGAAATCATCAACGGGAAAATTTACTATTCCATTGACGATATTATTTATTCGTATATTCTATCCTCTCTTATGTTTTAACAGCAATTCTTCTTCGGCATTATACGCACAGCACTTTCTTTCTCGAGGTTAGAATTATGAAGGCAGGAGGTATAATGCGTAAATTAATAATATATCACTTGTGCAAGTTATATTAATATACAGGGTGTCCCAAAACTACCGGATGTTATTTTAATAGTAGATTCTTTAGAACATTTTAAAGCGAAAACTTTTATACAAAAATGTCGAGGCTATAACAGTTTTCAAACGAGAAGCGATGTTTTAACAGTAATTCTTCTTTCTTCGGCATTATACGTACAGCACTTTCTTTCTCGAGGTTAGAATTATGAAGGCAGGAGGTATAATGCGTAAATTAATAATATGTCACTTGTGCAAGTTATATTAATATACAGGGTGTCCCAAAACTACCGGATGTTATTTTAATAGTAGATTCTTTAGAACATTTTAAAGCGAAAACTTTTATACAAAAATGTCGAGGCTATAACAATTTTCAAACGAGAAGCGATTATATTTCACCAATAACAGGGCTGAAATTTCGCGCGCTCAGGCACGTCCAAATGACAAGTAATAAAGGTACTCCTATGAATGTCACTTTTTTTACGATATTATGATTAGTATAAATTTACAATAACATTGTCATGATATGTTTTGCCGCTTCTCTACGCATTGCATTAGAATATTTTTTATACGAATAATACTTATAAGACATCTTAAATATAATTCAAGTAAAAATGACATTTCAGTTTAATCTGTCAAAGTATCGATCAATTATTACCATGAAGGTGTTCACTATTCTATACGGCGTGTAGCACCTTTATCACTTGTCATTTCGGCATGCCTGAGCGCGCGAAATCTCAGCCCTGTTATTGGTGAAATATAATCGCTTCCCATTTGAAAACTATTATAACCTCGACATTTCTGTATGAAAGTTTTCGTTTTAAAATGTTCTAAAGAATCTGCCATTAAAATAACATCCGGTGGTTTCGGGACACCCTGTATATTATTGCGTGGAAGTTTATCGTTATTATAAGGTGATTACAAACAAGCGCGCATCTAGCAATTATTCCTTTAAGAGTGATCATTTATCAGTATAACTGGTACGTAAAACATAATTGGAGCTACTGATTTGGATTTCTTTGATCGTATATCATCGTATATATCTTTTGAAAGTGGCACGGCAAACATTTCTGCTATGTGTTTCCTCACTTCTGACATCATCGATCCAGAACTTCACAACGGTGGAACCAGAAGCCTTAAAAATTAACTCGATATCATTAAAGTTACATATGCTAGAATATAAAGACGCATGTGCTGATTGTATTAACCAGGTCATTTACGATGTGACACGCATATATACATATTGTGCATATAATGTTCATTATATAATTCATTAATGTTCATTATAATGTTCATTAATTATACTGTGACGAGTACGAAATAATATAGAGATCCGAATGCTTTGATGTTATTGAAGCCAAATACAGAGACACGGACGTTTCACGTGATCGGACAGCAAAGATCAAGTCGGCTCGGTTATTAGAATCTCCTATTTTATAGTCCTTTCCCCGTAGCTGTATCTTTCAGTAAGTAATTCTGCGGATGGATATCTCCCGACTATAATCTGCTGGCACAGCGCGCGCGGCAGCGATCTTCACTCATCACGATCTTGCTCGCGCGGCGTCTGAATCACGACATCGGGGCAGAATGAAGCGATATCCTTTGGAGCCGAGTGACACTGCGATTTTCTGACGTCTCGTGTGCGTGTGCGCGGCACACGTGTGTTAGAAGGCGCGACCTTATGCGAGGCGCGACTGACAATAAAAACGAAATGCGCGTCGCGTAATACGGTCGTCCGGGATACACCATCCCCTCGACGAAGTGCGAAGGTCCGCCCGTTTATTTCGCGAGCCCGACGCGCTCTCTCCTCGTACGATCGCGCCGTGCCGTTATCGTTGCACCTGGCAGCAGTGCAGAGGAGCGTACATCTCGCGCGGATCGGAGTCTACTGGGAGAGATACTTATAGCGACCTTGGATCTTGATGCAACTCTGTACGGTACTTAAAGGAATTCCATTGCTCGGCGTCATGCGCGAGACCGAGAGAACCGGTTGTTCGTGCCGCGAACCGTTTAAATCCCTTCGAAATAATGTTAGTCGGCTATCGCGCGCTCGCCGCCGCCGCAGTCCTACATACTGAATTTCACGAACGGCGGCCGCTTTCTGCATCCCGAATTATCGCCGCGCGAGTCGTTTATTTTCGCCGCGTACGCACGGCGTACAGGGAAACTCACTCGCGGTAAACGCGAGCTTCTGTTGCTTTCTCCCCAGCGGTGGCTGCCTCGATAATCTAGTGCGACGTGATTGAAGTAATTGGAGTAAAAGTTGGAGAGGAGCGAGGTGCACCACGCGGCGCGACGTGCCGATAGGGAGAGATCTCGATGCGCCGTAACGAGCGCTAACAAAGTATTTTCTTTGCAACACGTCGCGTTACGCAATCCTCGGTCAATATTAGTAAGCGGGACACGTTCGGCGAAACAAGATTCGTAGCGCGCGGAAATTCGTTTTGAGATCCGTTTGTTTTGTTACAACGAAGTTTCTTTTATCACAACGAAGCAGTTTATCGCGGCGCACGGGGAAAAGAGATTTGTATGATAATTACACGCGGCTATAACCGCATATAATTATGAAGTGACTATAATTATAGAGTCACAGGGAAATCAGTTTTGTAGTGACACTGTTAATGACAATCTTACATGCACATTGCTGTTATCGCTCTTTTGTTAAAAACAAGAAAATACGGTTAACGCGGCAAGTAACCCTGTAATTTTAGTGAAATTGAACGTTTCTTTTCGTCTCAAAGCAAATTCACCGCGTTGCTTCCTGCGCGATGTAGGCAATTCGTTGCAATTCTTAACGATTTCATTCGAGATATACTTCGAAAAGATCAGGATTAAAGACAAAAAGAGAAAAAAGCGGCCAAGGATCGGCGATGGTTCTTGCGCCGAGAGAAAATGTCTGACATTTGTGATAATCACATAATAAAGAGATTACAATCAGGAAACCTATTTTTGCTGCAATTATAGTGTGATAATTTATTGATGATCACCTTATATGCAAACTGCTACCACTGCTTGTTTGTTAATAACTGTAACACATATAGCCAGAGTAGGAAATGACTATAATTTACAGTAACATTTTCTCTCTCTCTCTCTCTCTCTCTCTCTCTCTCTCTCACTCTCTCTCATCCCCTCTCTCTTTTTACGCGCTTCTCCATGCATTTTTGCATAGAAAGACATTTTACGATCACGATATCTCCTCGGTATCTTCGCGAGACTTGCGCGCATGTTGCGCGTGACGTTTTTATTCGTTCGCTGATGCAACGGCCCTATAAAACTGCAGGAATCTGTGCCATGAGTCGGCAACGACCATGAATACTTCTTGCGACCGCGATTTTCTTTTTTTTTCGCAAACTCAACCGCGAGCGAGAACGTATCCGCGATTTTATCGAGCCACGACTTTTGGTTTGCGGTCTATCATTGCGAACGCATCCACAATGTAGTATTCGGCGTTCCGTTGGTTCAACTTGTGTTCTTTCTTTCGCAACACAAAAACGGGAAAAATCTTTGGTAGTGATCATGTAACTTGTTTTTTAGGGATTACAGAGAGAATGAAGATCCTGACAGAAGTCAAAACTAAAATTCCAAAAGTTGTAAAAAGATAATAGTAAATTAATAGAAATATGAATTTTTAATTAATATCTTTTTACTAATTAGTAGAAGTATAATTTTTTCGCAAAATAGAAATTAAAAAATAAAATTTAATCTTCTCACTGAAAAGGTGTAAAATAAGTAAATAAGTAATGGCTTTGAAATTTTCGCGAAAAGCTCCCGTAAACCGATAATTATAACTCTAATTAATAAAAGAAACCTATTAATACTGATTTCAGATCACTCCTGTTGCGGCCAGGACGATTATCGTTGAATCATGATCCTTTTGCAGAACAGAATTGACATGGACACAGTAAAGTTGACATTCACCGTAAAATCTCATTTTGTTGTTGTATCAAGATATTGTCAATAGACATACATAATAAAGAATTCATACTCCTATTAATTTACAACTTTTTACAGTTCCCCAAATTTGATTTAATTTTTATTTCTATCAAAGTCCTGTAATTCCTTAGGAGTGAAAAGTTTCACGTGAACTTGATGACTTCAGCAACCTTTTTGGACAATGGAAATGCGACATTTTTCACTCGAAACTTTGCACGTTTCATGTTTTTACGCTTTTAGGCAAAAATTGCACGCCACTCTTATTTCAGGGATATTACGGGGACATGGATATGCGGGCGCGCGCGTTGGCGCAAAAATAAAGCGTGATTACGGAGGGAAAAAGCATTCCATGATTAGCGAGGGGCGTGCGTGCATATCGAGTTTCGAGATATAAACATGTGGTCGCGGTTGATCGACGAGTCACGCAGGTATTTAATTATACCTATGCGCGGGGCGACATGATGCAATGCCCGACTCGTTCCTTCCCGTCGGTGGGAATCCCCGTTATCTGCATACGTATTCAGACGAGACATGCGGGTTTTTGGCACGCTTTCCTCTAAAATCGTTCTAGAACGAGACACGGAAATCGAATAAGATCGAGTAACGGAACTCGAGATTGTCCTCTGTCGGAGTCGTCGTCGTCGTCGCGGAACATTTCGTCGATTCTCGCGAAGAGCGCGTCTCAGCCGTGCCGCTGTTGCTCGCGGCGAGAGGAAGCGCAGTCTTGTTTTTCGCCGGAAGAGGCGATTAAAGTAGCGAACTGGCGTTGTGTGTACATTTGCAATGTTACGTTAATAAAGCTGAAGAAGCGCGCGATGAGACGGAACGACTGTGCAAAATCATGCCAAGAAATTACATGTACCTGTTTCCAGAATGCGCCGGCGAGTGTGCGCGCTCTTTTGCACACGTGTCGGTCGCGCGTTACGCAAAAGCCAGCAGGAAACGTCCGATTTCGGAACGGGATGGTGAACGACGCGGGGGAATGGCTATTAATTGTATCGGGAGCACAATATCGCAATTCGCGATTGTACCGTCGACTTCCTCGAGGTCTCTATTGCACAATCGATTCGCCGCATGTGATTCGCGAAAACGCTCCTAATGAGATGATATTCGGAGCACGTAATAGATGGAAGTCTGCAAAAAAAAAAAAAAACGAACAAACGAAACGTTCGGCTGTAGCGCGCAAGGATCTTGAAACTCTCTTGCAGCGACGAGCGACCGCTCTAGATCGGCGCGGACTGGTCTTGGAAATCATTAATAAGCAAATAAATCACACGCAGATCATTATGAAACAAACATCCGCTCGTTAAAACAGGCAAGTTAAGCGAACGAGTCGCGGGTCGCGAAAGAAGTTACGTGGTCCGAAGAATTTCGGTCGTGCGCAAGATTATTCTAACCGCCCACGTTAAAGGGGGAGGATCTCTCGATCGTCTGCCTCCCACGCACTCCATTATCATAACTGGTATGCCAACGTCGCGAAAGAATAAAGCGCTCGTTACGTTTCTTACATATTCATAGCGTTATCAAAGGGCAATTACTCCGCAATCATGTCTCTCTACCTCGACAAATTACTTCAGTATTAAGCGTTCTCGTTTCTCTCTTCTCGTTTCGCATTTGGAAATGCTCTTTAAATATCTAAATTTCTAAAGAATGCCTCTTTTTAAATACGTATGTATATGGTTGAGTCATCTAACGTTAAATGTCTACAATATCTGTGTTGTTTTTTACAAAAGAGGAAAAGAAACAAATTACGCGACTGGGAGAGATAAATGTCGTGTATAAGAAACAAATTACGCGATTGGAAGAGATAAATATTGTGGTCAGTCGAGCCTTCTAACCGCACAATTCATTCCTTACATGTTTTCCTTTGATATAAAACAAGAGAGACATTTCAGGATCTAACGTTACGCTGAGAAAAAAATTAGTATTTGTAACCATAATCACATAGAGAAATAATTACTATAAATTTTCGTCGAGAAAATCATATATTTTAGGGCTACAAATAACTTATTATTTTAGTCAGATCAACAATTTTTTTTCTCAGTGTATATATTTGCGAAAATAAAAAGATTTTATATCAATGCTCTATGTTGTCTTCTTCGAATTATTACGAACGTCTACAGATATTATAAACTAAAAAATAGGCTGAAAAATTATCAATCCACCAGACTTCTCAGAAACAATGTTTTCCGTCATTCAGAGCGATATTACTCTTTCTAAGTGAATAAAATCCACGTAATACGACCGCGATGCACATGCAATCGCAATGTGGCGGATCGACATGAACGCGGAATTTACGTAACCCCGCGCCGTGAAAATCGCCGGAAGTGGAACTTCATCGGGCGGGGACGGAGTGGTTTTCTAGTCGGAAGAAGAGAGAGAGAGCTCGCGCGGCTCGATTACCTATCGCGATTCTCGCACGCGAATCGCGATATTCACGCGAAAATTAATTAAGCGTTGTAAAGACCGGCGTCCTCCAAAAAGGCGGTTTCCTGCGATTAACGACGAATAATGGCTGGCATCCCGAGAGAGTCGCGTTATTGCTCCACGGTGGAGCAGGTGCACTCTCCGTCGATAACCGCCTACGCAAACAACAAGCAGATGTTTCTAAATACGCGTGTAATTTATGGGACGCGAGATAGCCGCGGGTTTTCGTGTTGAGGACTGTCTGAGCGACTGTCACGAAGAAAACGACGAACTAGACCTGACAATTTCTTTAAAAAAAGGGAGAAACGTGTGCCGCAAGACTTGAAGTGTTTTGTCTGGAAGTTGCATTAAGCCTTATTCTTAGCTGAACTAATACTACACTGGAATTTCGCTCTTTTTCCTCTCAACGCTACATAACATATACTTGTTTCGCTTCAAAAACAAATAGTGTAACCTAATTCAGCTGAAAAGAACAGACTTGTCGTTTCATCAAAGTTTAACTGTGCTATGCGAAAGATATTTCCTTTTTCAAGCGATAAATGATTATAATTGGCGAATTACTCTCTCGATGTAGCACTCGACGTGTAAATATGAGAACGATGCATTGGCCATTCCCGCGTCCCTCATAAAGTATTAATTTATGCCGCGAAAAAATAAAAAGGTCACGGAAACACATTACGACGACTTTTCATACGTGAGCTCTCGGGAGCTAGAATGTGACTCATTCCCTACCACGTGGAACGATAAGACACGTATAACTACCGCGAATTCGTTCCATTCGAGCGATCCTTTTCCTCCTTGAGCGCAGTTCTGCCTGTTATTGTATTGCGTATCAAGACGAGGATTTTTACGTGAAACACCGCGAGCCATTAACGTTATCCCGTATCGAGATACGTTATCCTCGCGCTCACAGTCACGGGAAATGAAATAATCACGACAATTACAAGTATACCATTTTCTTTAAAGAGAGCTAATCATTTGTATAGAAAAAAGTTGACGACTAGACTACCTATCTACCTACCTATTAGTTATAATTTCCGCGAAATAAATTAATCCCCAATGAAGGTCAATCCTGAAATTGAGTCCGTATAACATGATTCAAATTGCTTCTACTTTTTTTAAGTGTGCAAATTGCCATCTGCCACATAATCAACTAAGAGATGTAAAATACACGCGGTTTCATATGCAGTTTTATTCGCACAAAAATTTGATCTGAATCACACACCGCTGAATTATTTACATTTCTTCACGTAAATTATTGTCTGAAAGAAATTATCACCTAAATTATAATGGAAAATCGTGCGCGACGCCGTTCTGCCATCCCGACTTGAATCGATTTCGCGAAAATTTCGCAATCGATATGCGCGAATTATGCAACGTGCACGTTAAAGTTATTGGAACAACGGATAAGATTAAGCACGGATCGATCTTTAAGAGGGCAAATTCTTCAGGCAAAAATGACAATATTCGGAAATTTATTTAAAAAAAGCCGCGTAAGATGAAATTGTCTGAATTTGATATATGTAATTAACGATAGTTATACTTAAAAAAATATTTCTTATTTGTGTGCGTTTTTGTAGGAAAATGTGTGAGGTGTCACCTATTTCCGCTCTTGTCTGCAGTTCGTGCGTGCTTATATGGTTTTTATAGTTTTTTTATCGAACAATATTATTCAATTTGAAAAACGTAAAAAATCTTTCAATAGAATACTGTCGTAGTCTCTCTCTGTTATATAATCTCTCGAGTCGAATTTTTTATTTTTGAAGAATTAAATATTTTGTTTAAAAGAAAAGTAACATTTTTCGTAAAGATTCGCTCCTTTTTTAAAATAAAAATTTTAAAAATGGCTCAAGAGATTACAGAGAATGGTATTAAGAATATTCATAAAAAATTTCATAAAAAAAAAACATTTAAAAATAGTTGAATTATCGTGTAAATCATGACGAAAAAATCTGTGTTTTGAAAAAGAATACTCATGACATTAAATATTCTTAAATAGATCTTAGCACGATCATTGAATGTTATTGCAGCCACGCAAAGCTTTGGAAGAGATTTTATTTTTGCGTTGAAGCTTTCGTTGTTGTTCTGTATAAAGGCTATAATGCTTCTTCGCAGCAATTGCTTGTCACTCAATATATTTCATAAATAGGTTTAATTGCTGATTGCACTACTTTAGATAAGGCACTTGCTGATAATTTTTATCCTTGCAGCATTTGCCTTCTGCCATGTATACATGACTACATTATTCGTTGTAATCTTAACAATTTTACGAATTTCGTAATTAAATTTCCTTATATATTATTAAGACTATATTAAAATAATTTAAAGAATCGATTTTTTACCCCAAAGGCTAATTTGCCCCCTTAAACGAGTCGGGTTTTCGCGCTCACGATCGAGCAGGAGAGAAACTCGTGAGCGTGAGTACATTGTCGAGTCGTAGATTATAACAATCGTGGAGGCTGCGATAACGATATCAACGAGAACGGGAGATACCAGCCGAAGAAGACGTCCCCGGCGTGGAGAAAGGAAGCTCGTGAAACCGAACTTCGCGCGTCTCGACCGCTCGAGTTCTCACGCATAAATCGTTACACGTCGTTTCGTAATTATGTCGCTTAATTAGAGACGGTGATTTTCCTTGCAAATCGTCCGTTCTCGCGCTTACATCACTCGAAACGACATCGCCCGTTTCGCCGCGAAATTCATTGCTGTCCAAAACGATACTGCTGCGTGTTACTTTAAGTTGTAAAACAGCGTTATCGCCATCGGGGCTTTTAACCAATAAAACGTGGCCACGTTCGTACCGCACACGAATGCCTTGCATTAAGTAAATATTAATCGTCTCATCTGAGGCGAGTCAAACCGCGTCCTATGAAACTTGTTGCTCTGACATCGAACTTCGATTCATAACACACGAGATATTTTTACTCTCCGCAATGCTTATTTAAGACTTTATTTACGCATGATCTGACAGTTTCAATATTTCACTGACGAGACCCTGAAATATTGAATATTCTTCGCAGATGAATGACAACATATATACAGTGACTAAAAAGAAGTACCACATGTGTTTTTTAATTTAGAATATTTCGATATAAAATAGAAAAAAAATATTCAAACAAAAACTCTGCAAAATATTTTTCTTTTTTGTACAAATTTCTACCCAACACGACATGTGAAATTATCTCTCTCTATCTTTGTGCGAATACCTCTAATGAAATGGATCTCAGAGTTCGTCGTTATTCGAAATTTAGTCGATAATAACGCGGCACTTTCTCCGTGTATCCTTTTACGTATCCGTTCTCACACCGCGACCTCGCCGATTCCCGCCGAGACGGAACCTCTGACCGATGCTTGAAGGTTAAACGATGTGGACAAACTGCGGCTCGCGAGCAGCCGCTTCTATATAAGAGAATTATTGTCTGGACAATGACGCGCATATAAGCGAGGTATTAATAACGCACACGTCGTCACTTTCGCCTGCGCCTGCGAGTCAGACGTCGCGAATTTAAAATAGCATTTTGACCAACGCTAACTTTGATCTTTACAGAACTGCGGATTTCAACGTATCGATGATCGACTTTTGTTGATTTTTTCTGGTCGTTTAGAATACATTACGATACGAATAGTGACCACCTTCCTGTCCGTAATGCGTCGCAACATTTCTGTACACACAGAAAAATACATATCGCAAAATACATATTCAAGTTACTCGACTCAGATACGTATTCGCAAATCTAAGCTCATGATAAGCATCAAATTTACTTAAAATACATCTTGAATTCTAGTAAGTTCGGCATTTCAATCAAGAATATTAAATTAAAACAAAAATTCGATTTACTTACATATACAGTCAAATAAATCTTTTCTTCGATAAAGTCTCATAATATTCTCGCAAAGAGAAAATATTCTTTTTTTTAATACATGTTAATAAGCCTTTCTAAAATTCGTGATGAACATATTCTAAAACTATTATCAAGAAAATATTTCATACAGAAGATAACTATTATATTTAAAAGAAGCAAAGTATAACGAGTAATTGATTTTCTTAACAATAGACGGATATCTCTCTCTCTCTCTCTCTCGATATTTGACTTTTGTGTTCTTGCCTCAAGTATATAGGAATGTTATGTAAGTGAGTATTCTTCACTATCTCTCTCTATTGTCATATCAATAATATAATATAAAGATTAAAATTAATGCGACACCAAATTCTCTTTCTTTCTGGCAAGCAACGTCATCGTCAGAATTCTCTGCGAAATAATTAACGCTACTCGCGGGCGGGATATTTTTAATCGCAAGTGGGAAGTCTCTCATTAAGTATTGAAAAGCACTTAACACCTTTGAGAAAACGTTGTTCACGCATCACACGAGATCAGAAGCGGGAAATATCAAATGACAATTCTCTTACGGCCGCCGCGCGAGTCGGTCCGTTAGCACGTGCGAATCAGCAAAGCTTCCGCTTATTCAGCATGATTCAATCGTATTTCATTCATCCCCGCGGCGCCTGTACACGCGAACACTCTTGTAACGACTTGACCGAGCAACGCTCTACGCCCCGGCACGAAATAACAAACGCCTCAGATACACACAAGTGACAGGTGACATTCTTGACACGAAAAGTGAAGATACGATCATCGTTGATCGACAGAAAAAAAAATACATATAAAATGACGACACAAGTGTGACAATGCGCTGAGATCTCTATAACAGAATAGTCGGTATCAATATTAAAAGTGTATTAAAGTTCAATTTGAACGTACCGGCGATGCGATAACAACACAAGTTGTAATTAATGAGTTTTGATAAAGAAAAAAATATCCCGAATCGAAATTTTGATGCTACTTTGACGCTTTTAACCCGTAACAGGTACCATGCCTTTTTAGTTAAGCTATAGGCACCATGGAGTCCTCCGGACCCCAATAAATTTTTGCCATTTTTAACATGATAATAAAAGGTAAGAAAAAAAACGCTTTATAGTTCGAAAATAATACTTTACGAATATTATATTACAACTAGACATATATAATAACAGTCTCAGTTTTTCAGTAATCTAAACGAAAACGTTAATTATAAAATGAACACAATATGGACAATGTTGAAATAAAATACACTGAAAGACAAATAATCGGAAAAAGAAAAAAATTTATGTTTTAATCTAAGTCTACAAATTATAGATTATATAAAAAATATAAATAAGTTAAATTTGTTAAATACAATATTAAATAAGTTAAATACAATATTAAAATCTTAGAGGATTTTTAGATGCAATTGTTACAGATAATACTTGCACATTTGGTGCATACTGGTTTATTGCATCTAACATATACTTCTTTGGACTTCCTATCTTTACTTCTAGGATATTTATTACATGTTACTCTGGATGGCAAAATAATTTTAGATCTTTCAATTTCTTCAATTTTTAAAATAGATAAAATTATTAAACGCAATTGCTTATGAATATATTTAATTGTAAGACGTCTCTTAAGTTCAGGTTCTACTAACTGAAAGGCAAGAGCTTTTACTCTTTTGCGTGAAGAATGAGTCATATTGAGCTGAAGATTAAGAAAATTATTTTCATAAAAGTAACGTTAACGGTACCGTGGGGTCACTGTGACCCCACACGAAAAACAAATGCATATAATTCACAGCTACTTACAAATAACTCGATGATCTTTTCTTTTGTCACACTGAAAACTGTTACTCGAAAGGTACTAAAGATATTAGCGCCATACAGTGGATAGTTTAGGAATTATCACGAAAATAAAATTAGTTGGGGTCCCTGGGACCCCATGATACCTGTTACGGGTTAAGGATAGCTTGCGTCTACTTAGACAGTTTATAGCCTAGGTAAAACCTACTTTGACGATATTGATACTCATTAACTTCTCTTTTGAACCTTTAACTCTACTTTGTCAAAATTTTGACGCTACTTTGACGCTCTTAAAAATAGTTTGAGCCTACTTGGATAATCTACAACCTAGGTGAAACCTATTTTGACAATATTGACATTCATTTCCGAGTCGAAATTTTAACCCTATGTTGAACCTTGAATTCTACACCGCAGTAGCAGCTAAGATAGCAAAGTAAGTTTAAATCTAATGATATAATTTACTCCTACTTTGATCCTGATGATGTCTGAAAAATATATAACAAATAAATAAAATATTTTGTTTCTATTTCGTTATTTATTAAATTTTTTAAATATTTCTATAAAATACATATATTCTACGTAGGAGCTAAAACATCAATAAAGGTTCGCAACTGAACCTACTTTACTTCCTAAAATCCTACTATTATACAACTTACTTTGACGCTAAAGAAAGCGAAAGCGGAAATTTCAGACATCATCAGGATCAAAGTAGGAGTAAATTATATTATTAGAATTAAACTTATTTTGCTATCTTAACTCCTACTGCGGTGTAGAATTCAAGGTTCAACATACACGGAAAAAAGAGATGTGGTGCACCTAACAAAAAATATTTAGTTAAAATATTTAGTAAGCAAATAGCTGCATCATTCTACATATTTTTGTATGATAGTTATGTGTATGGTTGATTTGACTTACTTTGGTGTGTCAACTACATCAATGAAGTTGTGCATGATCTGGTTGTGGCAACCAAAAATTAGTAAGAGGATCATTTTGCATAGACAAACTAAATATCGATGTAGTTGCATTAATCAATGCTATATTGCAAAGCAGCGATGTTAGAAAACAAAAGCAATTCACTACGCGCATAGCTAGAGATGTATACATGTGAAAACTGGTTCTGAGTGTATAAATATATATTTGTAGTTGCCACGTAATGAGCCGCGTTTGTATTAACCATGTATTATCACTGCTGCAACATAAGTAACTCAGCCATTGTTCTTTGGTTACAGCAACCACATAAATAGTTGTTCCGTATTTTACTATTGAATCTGGTTGGCACAACCAGATTTCTGTATGGATCAACCATATTGTTTTTTCCGTGTAGGATTCAAAATTTCGACTCGGGATGTCGAGAGAGATGCCTGCGGACTCGCTAAAACGGCAGACTGTGACTACGCGTGTATTCCCGCCGCTCGACTGTCTCGTACGCTCGCTCTGTTTTAGAACGCGACCGGGGTTATTCACATTCCTTTCGCGTAATAAACACGCGCTCGCACCGAGGACGCGTACGCGATAAGGATATCGTATCACCTGCCAATTAAAACGAGATAGATCGCAAACGCACTGAGGCTTAATGCATCCCAACTAGCCACGCAACGATAATTCGATAATATTCGAAATATCGATGTGTCATGGATCAATAATTTATCGATATTTATCGACGATATTTATCGATATTTATCGACGATACTTTTTTCCTCCGATACATCATTATGTCGACGTCAATTTCAACGATATTTCGTGATTCGCCTTATACCTGATTTTACCAGCGTCGATTAAATCTTCGTTCTGAATGTTAACTTTTTTCGCACGAAGATTAAGTTCTTGCGCATGATAGGGAAAATATTAAGAATAAAAATAAATATTATTTTGAGTATATTTTATATTTAAATACTTCGCCGCGGTCATGTTGAATTTGTAACGTCAGAAGCGAGGAACGATATACTAACGAAAGTTGCATGCCATTTCTAAATAAAGATAAATATGGACGAAAGAACACTTAAGATTTTTTTAACATACTTCTAAAATTGTCTGAAAGATATTCCTTTCCCTGAGATCAATAAATAGTCGTATAATAAATAATGGTAAAATGACAAAATGTATCTAGAAACATACAAAACAAATTCACTTCATCATTTCACACACATGTCTCATTTCTGAATCTTCTAACTCTTCGCATTTATAACGAAACGGGCGTATATTCGGACACTAGAAGAAGCAACAACGAGAGGATTGAGTATGAGAAGCGACACGAAACAAATTAATAGAAATTATATAAACCAAGGAATTTTTCCCCATTAAATGTTTCCAATATAAATATCAGCATTTCTCGAAATTATCGATATTTCAAGAAATCGTAACTCTAGTCCCGAGGTGTCGGAGATGATTTTCTCGATCGATGCGCCGTAATAATATTATGTAACGTGACGGAACAAGACGAAAGCTGCGAGAAACAATAACGCTGACACCGTTGACGCCGTCAATAGCTGCTAATGAGAACAACGAATGCTATTCCGTGACCCAGAAATGAAAGAAAGGATCTCGTGCATACACAAGTAGTACGCACGTTCGTCCTTCGTTGATTCATCCTTCCTATACCTCTATCGAGAGGAGAGTCGGATTTACAATAAATTATTCCCACTCACCACACAGGTTTGTAACGCCACTTCGCTATCTTTGACGTCAGAGGAGAGGATCACGCGTTGTAGGTGCGAAACACCGACACCGCTTTCGCAATTCCGTCTCCTGTTCCCGATTCGAGCAAATACAGATGTTCCCGAAGACGCAGCGACATTATCGGCTCGGCGCGTAGATAACACGTTTGCTCGCGTTCTCGCGTAAGCCTGACGGATATATTTAAACAATGCGAAAACACCGCCGCCGATAACGCGAAGCGACAAGCATCGATGACACACTATGACGGACCGACACGAACACCGGCGGATTATTTACAGTGCGGTAATTTATGCCAATTAACCCTCTTGTCCCTAGTTAGATCAACTTCAGTAGAATTGATTCTAGAGTCGCAAGAAAGGGAAAGATTCTTTGACCAATATGAGAGTCTAATAATGTGTAATTACAGCATGAAAGAGAAGAAATCCTTTTAATCCTCAGGTTAAAGGAAAGAGCGAGTGATCGGTAAGAAATATTCATAAGAATTGTGTCACATCATCAGGAATTGTTACACAACAGAACCAATGACGTAAGAGATTCTCGTTTCCTCAAGACAATAAAATGCGCTTCACGCATCGCACATTTTATTACATGTACAGCCTTGACAAAATACATATATGTATACGTGACGTTAATAAGCTGCGAGGGATCTCCACTGACTCGCTCTAACCAGAAATTAAAAACTGCAACAAAGTTCCACAACGAATCACTATACTGTAAAAACTAATATGTTAAATTTAACACATTTTACGTATCCCAAATCATCCACTCTCATTTATGTGTAAATTTAACACAAAATAAATATGTTAAAAAGTAACACGCATAATATAAAAAAAATTAATACAAGAATTTAACACTTGAATACCGTTAGGAATCACAGATTGTATTAAATTAACATATTTAATATGTCAGACATAGATTATGTCAATTTAACATTTTCATTTCATCAAAACCGTAGATTAATACTTCTCTCAAATATTAAAGTAACGTTTTATTTTAGTTTAACCTTATATACATATGTCAATTTAACACAAACTGTGATTTCTGACGTGATTCAAGTGTTAAATTCTTGTGTTAATTTTTTCCATATTATGTGTGTTACTTTTTACCACATTTGTTTTGTATTAAATTTATACATAAATGAGAGTGGATGATTTGGGACACATAAAATGTTAAATTTAACATCAATTTTTACAGTGTATAAATACCAAGGCAGTTGCTGATAAAACAATTGGAAGAAATTGAATCTAAAAAGGATTAGAGAATTGTATGAGAAGCACTTCCCAAAATGCGCCGCGACTCTTTAACTTTCACGAAAGCTCGGAATTGCTGCAATTCTCTATCTTTCCAAGGCTTTATTTCTCCTCGCAACTGATAATGAAAAGACTCGATGCGGGAAATCATAGCGCAGACATAATCACGCATCATCGACAAAAAGAAGAAAAAATCATACATGATTTCTTGTTACTACTCAGCTGACGCGCGTCAGCGCGCAAAGAGACACGTCATCGCCGAGAGAGGAGAGATAAAGCCTGAATCAATGAAAAAAATAACCTGAGCGTCGTCGACGTGCATATCCGATGGCATTCAAGACGATAAAAAAGGAACGATTTTGTCGAATTTTAAATCATTCGCCACTTAATCCTGAATCACCGATTCTGCTAAAGTTACCTGTTAAATAATACGCCAGTAAGCGCACTTCGCCACACAAGCACCTTCTTATCGCAAGCAAAGTCCTCCTGCGATTACACGCGCGGTGTAAATCACTGCGGACTCGATTACGATTACAATAAGATATTTATGGAACTCGATTCGCGCGCAGTTACCGATTGCCCTTCCTCCTTTCGCCTCTCGTAAATACGAGAGTTAAAAGTTGTCCACAGTGCAGTCGCAGTTACGTCTTAAAGTCGTAGCGCACTAGTCTGTGAGTCGATTATGCATCTATTTCTTTCACGTAAACTCATGGAAAGTAAACATGGAAAGTTTTCTTGAACTCATCGATAAGATTTTTCATTTCTCACGAGTTTGCGCGAAAGAAATGGATACGCGGTCTAGATGGCCTCAGGACATATGTTACTCATATGTTTTTTCTTAATCTATCTTGATCTATCTATTTATTTATCTTGAGAGAAACAGCGATAATATCTATCTTGAAGGATGCCAGAAATAATCCTCTTAGAACATGGATATTTTTCCCCGAATTTCATTAAGACCGGAATAATACTATAGTTAAAAATAAGAAGAAACTAATTCAATATTGGCAAAGTAAATTTTCAAACCTCTTGAAATTTTGAATTAATATTCCCCATCTCGTGAGTAAATAAAGTTAAATGACGCGTTACTAGCTAGAATGAGGTTTCCAGCAAATGTATAATATACTATTTCAGATAATACAAGCAATTTTCATTCATAAAATGATTGAAATTGAGTGTATAGTAAAGTTGGCCCACATGGAAAAAAAAGATTTGCTGCAGCAGCAAACTAATTTGCTATATATGGACAGTTAAACATAATTCGTTGTGTTAGCTACTTTTTCTTGCAGGAATTTATTTCCTTGCTATGATAACAAGAAAATTTTCTCCTACACGGAAAAAAGTGATGCACCTAACAAAAAATATTTAGTTGTAAGCAAATAGCTGCATCATTCTACATATTTTTGTATGATAGTTATGTGTATGGTTGATTTGACTTACTTACTTTGGTGTGTCAACTACATCAATGAAGTTGCGCGTGAGTTGTGGCAACCAGAAATTAGTAAGGGGATCATTTTGCATAGACAAGCTAAATATCGATATAGTTGCATTAATCAATGCTATATTGCAAAGCAGCGATGTTAGAAAATAAAAGCAATTCACTACACGCACAGCTAGAGATGTATACATGTGAAAACTGGTTCTGAGTGTATAAATATACATTTGTAGTTGCCGCATAATGAGTCGCATTTGTATTAACCATGTATTATTACTGCTGCAACATAAGTATCTCAGCCATTGCTCTTTGGTTACAACAACCACATAAATAGTTGTTCCGTATTTTACTATTGAATCTGGTTGACACAACCAGATTTCTGTATGGATCAACCATATTGTTTTTTCCGTGTAACAAATCTTTTTTTTCCGTGCACAATTAAAAGGCACAATTAAGGGAGGACAGTGGAGATCTCTCGCGAAAACTCCGGAATTATTAATCAGAATACATATTTTACATGTAGCCTTTTTTATCTTGCGCTTCTGGGTAACTAAACCCGATATATCAGGGCAAGATAGCCATGTTTCTAATTTGGTTATTACAAAACATAATATACAGGTTAACAGAATCATGGCGGATACTAACTTATAAAAGAATACTGTCTTCATCATGTTTGTACAGTCAGTCACAACAATCAATTATCTAAGAAGTTGTAATTTCGAAATTCTGAAATATGGGATGTCTAGACCCGGTCTTCTCTACATGATTGATTCATAGACTAATGCTGCAATTTTAAATAGAATCGTAAATCTCATAACTTGTTCTCGTAAAATTCCTTAGAACTTATGAATAAATTTATAATTCTATATTATATATTATTCTATATTCTATATATATATATATATATACATATATATATATATATATATATTATTCTATATTCTATATTCTATATTATACGATCACTTGTAAATGTCGTAAATTACGTGAAATCGTAGATATTTACGGAGTAATAGAATGATATATAGTACATATAGAATTGTAGATCTATTCATAAGTTCTTACGAATGTTACAAGAGCAAGTTACAATTTTGTTTAGAATTGCAGCATAAATGACTTTTTAAAACGTAATGTACGACTGCATTGTAAATGATCCTTTACGCTCGTGCGAGTCGCGCACGCGCACAAAGCGAAAATAAAAAACTCGGAACTATAAAGTTCATGTAAATCCTAAGGCGAGATAAGACGAGATAAAACCCGAGTATATTGCACGAGAATATTGTTTTCGTGTCACGTGTTAAATTTGATGAGATGATTTTTTTTTACAGACGAGTGATGCGAAACGGAGGACGCTGAAATCCCAGAGATATACTAGAATTACCGTCGACGCGAGTACAAGCAATTATATCGTACATAATTAATTTTCATCGTAATTTTACAACGAGAAAAAGTACGTCAAAGCATGTATTCTCTCTTTTGCGTCGTTCCCGAGATCGAATTTCTAGCTCCGGCTACTTTTATTGCAACACATCGATCACTGAAATGGCTAAAAGAGCACAGCGAAACGGCGGAACTGTTCGGCGGAGAAATAACTAATTACGACAGGATGACGCATGTGCATTCAATAACAGCGCGCACCTGCTTGTATTTGCGTGAGCGAATTATAAAAGCAGGAGAGGATACGCGCGGTGCAGCGAAAAAAGTGAGACACAATACACGACAATCATGTTCCATAAATAGAAGAATGGTTATAAAATAAAAAAATATACGATTATCTATATAACTTACTCCTGACAGAATATAGCTGAATCGTATACTATGTGCAAATCCAAATGTTATTTTAGCTGGATCTCTTTTTGCACGTTTCTTACCGTCTTAAGTCACGCTTTAAGATACATTTAAACGTGTCAAATAACGTGATTTGAAATCGCAAGGAACATGTAAAAAGAGCTTCAGTCAAATTACACGCTCACGCATCTAAAAATGACATACTTGGATTTGCGGTTTCCTAAACCGTACTTTATCAATTTTATTGTTATTATTGAATATGGTCGTTTAATGATAAAAAAAATAAGAAATAAATGAGCGGTAAGAAATGTATAAACAAAAAATTTTCTGATTATATCTTACTTCGTGTGTGCTACAAACATTTTAAAAAATCAGGCGTGATTAATGAGGTACAATTTAGAAGGTTGACAACTCTCTCCTAACCTAATTTAAAAATAAATTTAATCTTCAAGAATTAATAGCGACGCATAAAATACACTGCGCACGTGTCTAAAGCTTAATCTACAATGTGTTCTTTACTTCCTGTTTCCTGTTCTTTGTCTTTTTCTGGCTTAAAGCTTGACCTAAAATGTGTTCTTTACTTCCTGTTTCTTTCTCTTTATTTCTTTTTGACTCAAATCTTAAGCCTTAAGTCAAAAAAAGACAGAGAACAAGAAACAGAAAGCAAAGAACACATTGTAGATCAAACTTGAGGCTGAAGATTTGAGTCAGAAAGAGACAAAGAAACAGGAAGCAAAGAACATATTGCTGATCAAATTTAAGTTGACCAGAAGCACGCTGCTTTTACATACATATTTGCTATACTAAATAATTATACTTGATTGCACTAAGGTCTGGACAGACTACTAAGAATCCAACACGGTGGATCGGCGCGTAAAAAATACTCGGTATTGGTACATCGCGGTTGCTGCGTGCCGCGCGTATACGCGTCTCCCGATCTCGCGAACGTGCTGGACACTTTCTAGCGTGGACGGACGTAAACACGCGAGCAAGCGCAACGACGACACGAGTCCAACAGGTGGACTCGTAGCACAGCGGTTAAATTCCACGGGAATGCCATGGATTCTTTCGATACGGGCGCGTCGCGCCGTGCCACGCCGACTTTCGAAGCCGCCGAGGAAAACACAATGATCCACATGAACGCGCGCGTCAATCCGCTTTCCCGATTTGTTCGGTAACAACAGAGCGCGACATGTTCAAACGCAAAAATGTGATAAAAGATTACCGGTGTCTCTGTAGGAGCTCATTTTACTTCGATCGTTACAAGCAGAAATTAATGCTGAAAGAAGCTTGCATGATCGGTTCCTTGCGTAAGCATCCGACGAGGAAATCACTAATAATCGTATACGGCTCGAACTTCATAAATATGAAAAATATTCTGCGTGGAATATCTTTTTTTATATCGTCATATCACTTATTGAATTAAAATGGAGAAACAAGAAATAAGAAGCTGCTATCTCAAGTGTTTTCTTCACTTGCAATGCAATCGTTACTACATATGCGATTGCACATTCGTGATTGCACGTTTGTGATTTTTGTGCCACGTCAATCCGAGAATTTCAATATCCATTCCCAATTAGATGTATTTAAAGTATGCCGTTATTTCAGCTCGAAATTAATTAACGACATTCATTATTCGAACAATGTGCGAATTTTGCATTATACTATATCACGCAACATGAATTACATGTTCAATATAAACGCCAAATGAATCAAACGTCCTTGAACTACGATTGTCGTCAAGAAACTACTCTTAAATCTAGGGAATACCAAGTTTTTTGTCTTCTCTGTATATTATACACACGTCACGCGGAGAAGAAAACAACTTATCCGGCATTCGAATACATATATCCATTTTGTCACAAGAACACATTTATTTACAAGTCGACTCACCTTGAGATAAAGTATAACAACGCGCGTTGTTTGTACGACACGTTCGATTTAATATATCGTCATTGATTATTATAAACCAGTTTTATCAAACATAATGATACATTAATGAATAATTCAATTTTTAGTCAATTATTAGAAATGATTAGAATTTAGATTAAACTTCGAGTAATAAATGCGTGATAAATCGTGCGCTTGTGGTACGCCCAGAGATAAGATAATAAGAAAGAAAGAGACAGAAAAGGGAGAGAAAGAGAGAGGGGAGAAAGAAAGAGAGAGAGGAAAGTAATCGGAAGAGAGTAGCATCTTTACCTCGTCAACGGAGCAGTTGCTGCCGTCCGAGCGGTCCTCGTGTTCCACGCTGTTCGGATTCCTCTCCGGCGTCTTGATCACCTTGATGTTCAGCATGGTGCCCTTGATGACGATGTTGTTCTCCCTGAAGTAGTCGTCGGCCTCCTGATCGACCACCAGCAGCTTCGTCTCGTTGGCAAACGCCTTGATGCGCTCGACCACCTGATTGTGGGTCTCATTCGCGATGTCGATCTCGTTTACCTCAATTATACGGTCGCCCTGGCGTAGGCCGGCCGCCTGACTCGGCGAGCCGTCGTCCACCTTGCCGATGAACTGGCCATTCTTGCCCTTCTGCGCGTGCAGGTTGAAGCCGTAGCCGAGGAAATCGTCCCACTTGACGATGTGGCAGAGCCGGGCGCACGGCTTATCGTCCTTCAGAGAGGACATATCGGTCTCTCACCCTTGGCGCGCGCGCGCAGGAGATCGCGAAGGAAAGTGAGGAGGAATCGAAACGCGCGAGCTGTGCGCTAGAGTGACCGTGTGTACGCGCTTTCGCGTCTCGCTGGACCGAAGGCACACGAATCTCGCGAGGAACGCGCGGAACGTTGGAAGTCACGCGCGACGGGACAGACGGCAGAGAGCACGGCGAGCGGGGCACACGCACGTATACGCGACGGACGAACGTATGCCGCGCTACCACGGGCGATCGTGGCGCGCGCGAAGAGGTGGCGAAGAGTCCCGAAGTATCGCGAGCGGCCGCCTCGCGCTCTCGCTCTCCGTACGCGGCGCGGCCGCGCCGAACCGATCCAATCGCTTGCCCGTGCGCGCGCACTACTCACCTGCCGCAAGGCGATCGTTCGAACCGACCGGCGGCGAGACAGTGGCACGATCCGCGAGTCGTTCGTTTCGCGCTGCGCAATGGCGGACGCTACGAGGACGAACGATAGTTTCTCGACTCTCCCGAGTCTCCTTGAGATCTTTCCTCTCTCTTGTTGATGCTGCGTTTTGTGTACCAATTTGTACAAAACGACGATCTTTTCCCTTCCACGCTTACTTTGTAAAGATCAGCCGTTCAAGATTTGAATCGGAAGAAGTATTCTTTCCGTTACTCACGCGGCCGTCCCTTGCTGATTCGCACTTCGCGCACGGTCGAGGATTCTTTCACACGTTATGCACAACGCGCACGATCACGCGCACCTGTCGTGGCCGAAGCGAACGAAACGACGATTATCGCGGCGCACGTGAACCACACACGTTTTCTTCACCGAAACGCGAACAGAGGAATCCACGCGAGACGTTGTCGCGAACTCGCCAGACCGGTCAGGCGAGAGAGGGGTAGACTGTTCAACGAAGTGAGCGTTGGCGCTTATCCTAGAGTTACTCTAAACAGAGTTTGACCACGACTGCGGTTTTATCAAAATCCTGTGAGAAAGAAGAATATATTTTCAATCTCTCTCTTTGTCTACCTCTCCTTAACTTAATCTAACCTAACCTACTACGATAGGAGAACTATGATTGGATATTGTGTGGAATTTGATAAAACATAACGGACCAATCAAAAGTTGCTCTCTTTTGGCCAAACTCTACCAGAGAGAAGCATAAGAGCGGCTACCAGCTTGATTTCAATGGTCAGAGCTAGGCGCATTTTCGAGACGCCATCTAACAAAGCGCGCTTTTACTACGTTCGTTAAATGCATTTTCGCGATGGTAAAATGCGCCTGGTTCGCGTCCGTGTACTTCCGCATAATGATAGTAAGTTAGAAAAGGACAGACATCCAATCGCTCTATCTATTCTTGTCTCACCATTGACCGCGCGACGTAGGCACGAAGCGAGCTAGCGGCGATATTATCGCAAAACTAGATCATCTCTCATCAGTCTCGTCTTTCTCGCGCTGCGTTCTGCGTAATTTTGCAAGGAAAAAGATTTGGAAACTGGACAATATAACACAATAAACAAATATACAAGCTTAAACATATTTTTTGCCACTCATATTTTTTGCTTATTTCTCGGCAACCACAAAAGATATCAATGTGATTCAAAAAAAACAAAGTTTCCCACAATTTATCCTGTTAGAATTCAGAGTTTACAATAATACTAATAATACTAATACTATAATAATACTATTAATAACGACTCGTTAAATAAACCGTAAAAGCGTACTTTTCGGCGTCGTTGACAGGTTTTTTATTACCGACTGCATTTTTCACGCATTTCTCGGCAACCACTAAATATATCAAGGTAATACAAAGGGCATTATCTGCCCCACAATTCATTTTATTGGAATTGGAATTGGTAGTTTATGATAATATGAATAATATCGGAGACTCAAAATACCTCGGTTTGAATCCCGGTTTAAGGGGATGTTGGAGTAGACGACAAACTTGCTAAGCGTCAATAACATAGAGGCGAATAAAACGATTCAAAACGTAGAAAACATTATCTTTATTTACCGATATATATTAGGATTCATAAATGCGTTTACACTTCCGGTATCTAGAGAATTGGATTTTTTCGATCTGGCGCATCTCTCTCTCTCTCTCTCTCTCTCTCTCTCTCGTTTCTCAGTAAGCGTGAATCGTGATTATTAATTACTGAAAGAACCGACAACTAACTAACAGTCACGATTTATGCTTACTGAGAAACGATGCGCCAGATCGAAAAAGTCCAATTCTGTAGATATCGGAAATATAAAAGCATTTATGAATTCTAGTGTATTGATTTTATGTATATATAGATATATTGATATTTAATAAAAGATGTATTAAGAGATGATACATCTCTTGATGTATCATCAAGAAATAATCCGATGAAAAGAAAGCCTCCCAAATCGAAATTTCAATTGGCCATTGTTATACAAGAATAATCCAATAAAAAAAATTATAAGTTTTTATCAATGGATATTCCATTCATCTTTTTACACAAAAGTGGCTTGTAGCCAATCAGAAGGCTTATAAGCTACTTTCACACAGATGTTTTTATAAAAAAAGGGAACTCAGAATAAAGATCTACGAAGATAAAAGCAAAATTGCACGTTGAGATGAGTTTTCGTACAGAAATTTTCATTTTGCACATATATAGCTTTCATTTTCAATTATTCACTTTTTCCTACCCGTAGTTTGAGTGGCGTGATTAATATACGCTTAGATTTATTCATGCGTCGTATCCCAAGTAGGAATCGTATACGTTTCGAAAAAATGGCCCGATATTGAGTCAATACCGAAAAGCGGATGTCCGGTTTTGGTACTGGCTCAGTACTGGGCCTAATATAAAAAATCTGTGTTATTGGTACTGGCTCCGTACTAAAGTTAAGTACTGGATAGTCGTACCGTACGTGTACTGGGGCGTTACCAAAAAGTATTTATCGTTTTCGGTACTGGCCCAGTATTAAAAAAGCTGTATTATTGGTACTGGCCCTGTTCGTAGAATCAGTATTGGATACCCGAATATAAATCGTATACAATCTACCAATAGAGGATATTGGACCGTCGCCCCGAAGATTTTTTCCTCATATGCCTATTAAAAATAGACATATATAGGTACAAACGAGAGCAGCCCGACCATAGTCTGATCTTTCTTTCCGTACTATATAGTTGTGATATTAACAATTGTACAAATAATAAAAATTACTAAAAATCGATACTGGCTCAGTACTGGGAATAGGTACTTCCCCAATACTAGAAATCAATATTTTTTTTATACTGGTACAGTACTGATTTTCGGTACTGTGACTACTGTTTTCCGATATTGACCCTTTTCTATTATCCCAGTATCACACCAATACTAAACCCATACTAGCATCTGGTACTATGCCAGTAACGTTTACCATAAATCGACATTGGGCTACTTTGATGCCAGTAGTAAATTCCTATTTGGGATATTATTTCTTCTCCCCAGAAGTGATTTCACCCCCATTGAAATTTAATTTGTCGTCTTGTCAACGACAAATGTATATGTATAAGAAAATATCTCCGAAGACATAGTATATTGTATATAATACGATATAATAAGTTATAAAGTATAATAATCACATAGTATATATAATCACATAATATATATAGAGCATATGTAGGATATATATATATATATATATATATATATATATATATATATATATAAAACATATATATAGAGCATAAAACAAGCATATATAACATATACAGAGCATATAAATATGACATGTTGAAATATATCAGTTAGATGTATCATCAAGAAACAATCCGACGAGAAGGAAGCCTGCCGAGTCGAAATTTCAATTGGCCATTATTATGCAAGAATGATCCAATTAAAAAAATTATAAGCTTTTATCAATGGATATTCCATTCATATCTTTTTAAATTAAACAAAAAATTTTAAGCCTTAGATGCTTAAAAATAATTAAGAAGCAGTTTTTTTATTTTTTACCTTTTTGCATATTTTTCTAAAGATTGAGCTAGTCAGTACTCTTAAAGAAATCGAAATGCTTGACTCGTTAAACTATTGTGACAATCTCAGAGCTAAATTCTTTGGTTGGATCATTCTTACGTAACTCCAGTGAATTGCAAATTCCAATTCTTACTTTACTTCCCGTCGAACCCAATGCGATTTACATCTACGTGTATGCAATCTACGTAAAGTGACGCTTTGTGTCTACTAGTAGAATCGGCATGACTGAGTTGCTTTCCTACACGTAATAACAATAATTAAATAATAACCAAATAAATTAAATAAGAACCGAATAAAGAAGTAATAATACTCGAACATTAAATGGTAGTGATAATAACTGTTCGACAATCATGTGATAATATCCGCGAGTGGATAATAACGGAATAACGAAGATCGAATAATTGGTAATAACAATGAATAACAATAATTAGACAACGGCAATAACAACTGTTTAAAGACGATGTAAAGAAATTGTCGTAACGGCACTCCTATGTGTAATAACAATAATTAAATAATAAGGGAATAAATTAAATATTAATCAAATGAAGAAGTAATAATACTCCAACATTGAATGGTAGTGATAATTATATCTGTTCGATAATCGTATGATAACATCCGCGCACAGTAACGAAATAATGATGATCGAATAATCGGTAATAACAATATCTGGGTAACGGCTCTAGCAAAACTCTAGGCTCCACAAAGGCTAGCTAAACGAACCGTCGTAACAGCCCGCTCGTGCCGCTGACTAAGCGGCGCTTGGGGAGGAGCGCGACCGGGTCATGTAAACACGCGTGCGCGAGGACGTGCTCGAGCGTCACGCCATAACGCTATCAGTCTCGAGGCAGAGATACAAGATTTGGTCTGCTTATAGCGTGACGTAGGCCACGCATACAGCGAGCGACTGTGTCCGTGAGCGGCGGCTCGACTCGAGCCTACTACGCAATAGTTCCTGCGCATGGACTAAAAGACTGTCATGTTACTGCAGCTTAGGTCATGTAGCATTAGCACATTTTGGGATAGTTTCTCAGGGTTTTTTAAAGTAACATTCGCACTTGAAAAGGTTTATTTTCGAAAATGACGTCAGGTGTGCTTATTTCGTTCTGCATCCTCTCCTGGGTGACATGGCGTGTTTGTCTCACTCCACTCCCTCAGCAGTACGCCCAGAACCTTGAAAATAACTTCCCAATATCCCAAAGTCACGCCCATAACGTTAGATCCATCGTAGCAATATATTCAGATACCCGCGCATGCGCAGTGGTACCTATCCTGCGCATGGGTCGAAAGTCGGTCATGTTACTGCAAGTTAGGTCATGTAGTGTTAGCATGTAGCGCACATTCTGGGATAGTTTATTAGAATTTTTTAAAGCAACATTCGCGCTTGAAAAGGTTTATTTTCAAAATTGACGTCAGATGTACGTATTTCGATTTGCACCATCTCCTGGGTGACAATGTGTATTTGTGTCATTCCACTCCCTCAGCAGCACGCCCAAAACCTTGAAAATAATTTTCCAATATCCCAAAATCGCGCTCATAACATTAGATCCATCGTAGCATTATATTCGGATTCTAGCGCATACACAGTAGTACCTATCCGGTGCAGGAGCCGAAAGTCGATCATGTTACTGCAGGTTAGGTCATGTAGCGTTAGTATGTGGAGCACATTCTATCCACACTAGGATAGATTTTTAGGATTTTTTAAAGTAATATTCGCGCTTGAAAAGATTTATTTTCGAAAGTTACGTCAGGTGTGCTTATTTCGTTTTGCATCGTCTCCTGGGTGACAATATGTGTTTGTATCACTCTGCTTCCTCAGTAACACCAGAATCTTGAAAATAATTTCCCAATATCTCAATGTCGTGTCCATAACATTAGATCCATCGTAGCAGCAGAAAGAAACTTGATCGATTTCGTTCGAAAAGCATAGACTTCTTCACACTTTATTCTATTGGAATTAGTGGTTTATAATATTATAAAAAA